AAAAAAAAAAAAAAAGAAAGAGCCACATTTTTTTAATGACCCAGGCTGAGGTCTTCCAAAATTATAGTTATGATACATCTCATTGAAATCAATATTCCTATAGCTATGTTTTAAACTCTTTGGAGCCAGGAAATTGCTTTCATCTATTCTGAGAACTAGAACAGAGCTTTGCATGGCGTAGTTACTCAATGTTTACAAAATTGGATTGGGTTAGTATTCCCATTTTCTTGTCTGACTTACAGTCTGATTTCTTGTATAGCCTATGCCTGTAGGAAAGTCAGTGACAGGCTGTATAACTTTTTAAATTAAATGATGCTACACACCTCTCTTCTTCAATAGCCAAGCACTTGCAAATGAAAATACACCTTGGGTTTTGGCCAGTGACTCTTTCCCTCAGAGAGAGAAGTTGTTTAATATGTTACCCATAAAACCTGAAATAAACTTGTCCATGATTCTTATAAAAATAAGATGTAATCCTACACAGGTGTTTTCTGTTCATACTGCTTGGATTGCCTTTGTTAAAAAGGAAACAGGCTCCAACTGAAAAATGTTTCCTGGAAGACTAGCACAACATGTATAGATGGATGAGAGAGGCTCACATGGTGATGGTACATTCATTTACTTATCTTTCTTTAAAATTTTTTGTCATAATGACCTAATAATGACCCATCAATTGATCTCAAAGGTGTAGTTGTTGGAAACTGACAGGTCTGCTAATGAATCTTTTTAAACTTTCAAGGAAGAGAAAAATATACCTTACATAAACTGCTTCTAAATATAGAAAAGGAAAATAACCCTTTTAAGAAAGAAAATTATAGACTGTTATTTGTAAAAATAGATGCATAAACTTTGGCATGGACAGGAAAGGAGCATGAAGTCACACGAGGTCAGAGATCTAAGGGTTAACTTTAATGAACCACAGCATGTAGACCTCCAAAGAACATTCACCAGTAGCCCTTGAAAGCTTCAACATTTGAACACCTGCCACCAGGGATGGCTACATTATTGGTGGGACCAAGTGCAAAATGAGTATGTGAAGCTCCTTGTTCCAAAAGAAGAGGGAAGTGCCATTAAAGG